GATTTATTTTATGTGTTTGTTTTCTTGTGTTTGGTCCCCCATTAAGGTCTTTGAGGATAGAGACTTTGTTTCTCTTGTTCCTTGTTGGATTCCCAGCACTTAGTACAGTACCTGGCACATAGTTGGTATTTAGCAAATATTCGTTGAATGAATAAATGAAAAGTATCAATCTTACCATGTTCAACTTTATGCGTTTATGTATTTTCTTTTTGGGTTTTAACATATCTAGTTTCCTAAAACCAGAGCATCCTACATAAAGAAATTCAGGGCAGAGACAAGATTTCTTAGAAAGATTAAAATAACAGACTGAATAGCATAAATAGCAATAATATCCCAAGCTCAAATTCTAATTTTTAACTCAGGTTTTGCTTCCTACACCACACCCTGGATATGAATTCACATGATATAGATTAGTGTGATGGCTAGAAAAGTTTATATTTTTTAAGTTAATGAAGTAACTGGTTATCGTCACCCTGGTGTTTTTATTAGTGATTCAGATTCCTCTAAGATTCTAAAATTTAAATTCAGCTTTTCAACTCTTTTTCACTTTTCTCCTGCCAAGTATTTTATATCTTTCCCTACCTCTACCACATACATACCTGTTTTAGGGAGACTATTTAGTTTTGTTATCACAGAATTGTGAATGACCACAAAACTTTAGTCCTGGTCACATCATACTGTCTTCCTTGTCAACCAGTTGGTCTTCCCCCAAGTTACCCCATCACTGTCACCTCCTCTGTTCTAGCAGCGCTGTGTATACCTTGAGGTCATTGAAGAAATGAACCGTGTATTATTATATCCCTTAGTTATGGTGCACATAAATTGCTCAATAAAGGGTGACTAGATAAATGTGAATTACCATGCTATCTCTGTAGAAAATCAGAAAATGACATTTGTGCTACATGGTCTATAGTTTTCTTATTTTCTCTTCTATCTTGCAGTATATTCTATTTACTATATTTTTATTTCCATGCAAAGCTAACACTAGTTATGATTTTCTTATAGCAAACTTCTTGGGAATTTAAGATGCAAGGAAACAAATTTTGTGCATGTATGTTTCAGATATGATCATTCTGTTTCGAATGACAAAGCCCTGATGGTGCTGACTGAAGAACCACTGCTTTATATTCCTCCACCTCCTTGTCAACCCCTGATTAACACAACAGAATCTCTCAGGTGAGTGTTGTAGATTA